TCCTCTCAATGAACACGTTTTCTGGGATTCAAATTTATATTTTTCTCCTTACAGAGGTGAGACTATTTGCCATCTTAACCATAACTTATTGGTATAATGAATAAAATGCATTAGACATATAAAGTTGCTAAAATGCATCTTAATTAAATCCACTTAAAATATCAAAACTCAAATTAAGGTATGCATTTTTAACAAATTTCTAACCAGGCCAAAAAGCCTTATTAGGAATTGTTAAATATTGTTGAATGACTAAAATGGCTGAAAAATTGACATTATATAGTATTTATAAAAAAAAAATTTACATGAGAAAATTTGGAAATATTAAGAGCAAAAAATTAACAATGCATAATATAATATTTATACTAACTCTAAAATATTGATAAGAAATTTATAGGAACAGGAATTTTTTTTTTGGCAATGGGAACAAGGAATTTTTAATTGCTTGATTCCAGCACTATCAAATTAATAATTTTTTGAAGGAAAATTTTTTTTTCTTTCAGTTAAAAAAATCAGTTTTGACCAAAAAAATAGTTAAAATGTATTAGCAAATTTTACCATCAAATTTGTCATTTCTTTCTTAAGTGCTTTGCTGTATCTGTTATATAGACGTTCTCATCATGTTATATTTTATCATCTTATTACTAAAATTCATACTAATAATTAATATAAACTTATATTAGAAATTTAAATAATTTTTCAACCATTTGATGGGATGGATAAAGTAATATAAACTACTTAATATAAATTTATAAAAAAATTATACATTTTAGTCTTTTAACAACATATAGAGTAAGAATGCGTGAAATTGATGAATCATCTGGCGGCATCTCAAGAAAAAACAAGTCAATTCATAAATTGATTGGAGTAATTACCAATTTACCAACTTAAAGGGCATTTTAGTCTTTTAACAATATTAAAAAATTCCTAATAAGGCCCATGGCCTAAATAGGTATCTGTTAAAAAATGTACACTTTAATTTGAATTTTGATATTTTAACCGGATTTAATTTGAATTCTTACCATTTTTAAACTGATAAAAAAGTTTGGGAAACGTTCATTTAAATTTTTATAAAGTTATCTTCTAATTTGAACAAAGTATCATTAAAATTCTTCCATTTCTCTCCAATCAATTTAAACAAGAGATTATCAAAATCCCTCAACTCTCCTCCCCTTTGTTCTGTAGAGCCAAACAAAGCATTGGGTGAGCAAAAGAAAAAAGGAACAGATTCTCTCCTCTACCTTGCGCATTTGACACTATAAAAAAAAAGTGATTGGTGACATAATTTGGTATGAAAGATTTTCATCGCAAATTCCATTGCTGGTTCAATGTTTTTAAAAAAATTAGGAAAAACCATATTGGAGGTACCTATACTTTTTTTCAATTTTCAATTTGGTACCTATGTGTTTTTTGTTCTTAACTAAATCTTTATTTTTCCTCTATTAACATCATTAATCCTTATGTAGAGACTAAAAATATCAATAGAACAAAGTTATAAGAGTTAATGTTGCTAAAAAGATAAAATTAAATGTTTAATTAAAGAGAAAAAAACACATAGATACCAAATTAAAAATGAAGAGAAAGTATAAGTACCTTCAATATGGTTTTTCCAAAAAATTAAAATGCCATGTGGCACTTCTATCATCTGCTAGCTTATCCCAGTGATGACTGCCAACTACCTCATCTTCGCTACCACATAATTCGTCCTCAAAATTACTTCTTCAAGGCTCAAACCAAAAATCTCGTGTGTGCATGTATGCGTCTTCACCAGTTAAACTCTAATAGCTCTAATGAAACTACCAACATGTTACATATATATATATATATATATATATATATATATATATGTAATATTTTTTTACACAAACAATTATCTAGAACATATATATCATTAAAAATTAAAATAAATTATATGATAATTATAATTTTAACTATTTTTTGACAAAATCATTTTTAATAATTGTGTTACCATTTATTTTATAAAATTTATTTCTTTTAAAATTTATTTTAATACAATATTAATTTATAATGAAACTAATTTAAATTTTAAATTGTAAATATTTTTTCATAAATATATTTTTTTAATTTAATTTTTCTAATTAACAATGATTAGATATATAATTTAATTATATATGTACTATATTATATTATGTTATATTATCTATCTAATGAAAAATATTATAATTAAGAAAAAAATTTAATTATTTAAAAAATAATTATAATAACAAAATCTATTAAATTATTATATATAAAGAAATTAAATGATTTGAATAGATTGTAATAAACATTCTTCTTTAATTTATGTATGTATCCTACATAATTTTTTTTCCTAAACAATCTTCATATATACAATTTGTTTTTGTGGTGAGGAAGAAATCAATCTATGAGTTATTAATTTTATTATTATATTAATTTATATAAAAAATTTATTAATATTTTTACCATATTTGTTTAATTATTATTAATAATTAAGAGGAATTGATTTTAATAAAACATAAAACAAGTTTTCTAAGAAATTATCTTTCTGTTTCAGTATGTATCTAATGGTTAGATGAATAATGATGATACCTTCATTAACATCAACCCTACAAAGATATCAATTTATTTTATAATTAAAAACATGATTAATTCATTACATTCTTAATTATGTTATTTATAAATTATTGGAGGATTATAATATAAAATAATAAAATTTAAAGTTAGTGAGAGAATAAACTTAGCAATGAAATTATTGACAGAAATTTTCTTGGCAAACAATTTAGAGGTGGAATTAGCGATGAAAAAATTTAACCTTTAAAAAATTACCAACAGATTTTTTGATGAATTAGTAACAGGATTTAGAAACAAAATAATTTTCCATCGATAATAAACTGTTTTTTTTATAGTGCGATGTCCTCTTCTACTCAAAACTATATTGCTTTTTGTGTAAACTACTGAGTTTTCTCAAAGTAACATCCACCAATCTAAATTATTTTTTAATAATACTCGGTATCTTAAAATAATCTTTTGTACACTCAGCATTAAAAAAAATAAAAAATATACTGGCTTCCCAAAGTATAAACTATAAAAGAAATTGTTTTTTCCTTAACTGAGGCGAGCAAGGAGGTCCATTTTATTATCCCATTCTTGAGATTGAAAAGTCTAATGAAGATAAGCATAAAATCAATAGCGGATTGTGGTCGTAACAAGTCTGGCGGCACCTTTTCCTATGCAGGCTCCAGAAAATGCTCAGCTTTGCGGGCACAAGATAAAAAGTCAGGGGTCCAGACCTTTGGAAAATTATTTAAATCGTAGGCAGTTTCTTTGTCGTCTCTGTGTTCTAGAAAATTTGATACTCACCAAGCTACTTCTGCAGAAGCCTTGCAGTCTGTGGGGTTCCATTTCCCATCTTTTTTTTTTTTTGTCCTGTCTATTCTTTCTTTTTTTCCCAACTTTACTTTTCGGTCTCCTCCTCTTTAATTTTAAAGGAAAAATCCCAGAAAAAATCCCTGGAATATACCAAATTCCAGATTGGGTCCTAAAATTTTGAAAATGACAGAATGGGTCAATGACCCAATCTGTCATTTATGAAATTCATGCGAATTGACATTTTTGCCCCTGAGTAAAAGTGAGTAGTTATTCTCTAAACAAATCTAGGTAACGCTTACACTGTTCTAGTTATTACAAGATTCGTTGTAGTTAATAATAAGGTACCTGACAATAATAAGATACCTGACTATGAAAAAATGAGTAGTTATTCTCTACACAAATCTAGATAATGCTTACATTGTTCTAGTGATTATAGAATTAATTGTAGTTAATAACAAGACACCTGACTATGAAAAAGTGAGTAGTTATTCGCTACACGAATCTAGGTAACACCTAAACTTTTATAGTGATTCCTTGAATCATTATAGTGAATGAATAAATGAGGGCAAAATTATCAATTCGCCTGAATTTCACAAATAACAGATTGGGTCAATGGCCCATTCTGTTATTTTCAAAATTTAAGGACCCAATCTGGTATTTTTCATATTCCAATAATCTTTTTTGGGATTTTTCCAATTTTAAAATATAAAATTATCTTCTTTATTACATAATGTAGACAAACACATATTAGATTGGCTTGTAATGAAATCAACAATAGGACCACAGGAATAAAGAACATGAAATAGATATGAGAAGCAAATTTTAAAAAGCAGCCATGCAATTCCGACAGAAATTCGGAATACTCCAGAGTGTCCAAACCTAGTCACCTTAAACTGCAATAACAAGGAAACAAATAGACTCCACCCAAGAAGAGAGCAGAGAGAACCAACAGTGAATATAAAAGTTTAATCCCAAACTGCAAGCGGGGGGGAAAAAAAATTAACGTCACTTTTCTTATAATTTTAAGATTTAAGTTACGAGTTCCTTTTGCATAGACCTTGCGGTTTGTGGGTTCCATTTTCCATCCTTTTTTTTTTGTCCTTTCTATTTTTCTCTTCACGGTAAAGTAGGGTAAAATGCAAATTTTTCTCTGTTTTTCCAACTTTACTTTTCCGTCTCCTCTACTTTAATTTTCAAGAACAAAGATTAGATTGTCTATTAATTTATTTTAAAATATAAAATATCGTCTTTATTACATAATATAGACGAACAAAAGGAAAATCAAATGCCAACATATACTACAGAAAATCTTGTCGAGTAAAAAATTCTTAAGGGATTTCACCGATACAAATTCCCAGAAGTGGTTTTCACTTAATAAATTAAAATATTAGCATATATAGAGATATTATTTTCTCTTACAGGGAAGGATAACCATCAATTTAAATAAAATTAAAATAAAACAAGGAACGCAGTTTTAGACCGTTGATGGTGAAACTCAATTGCATCATAGACCGTCAAATTAATTTAAATTATTAAAAATTGTTTACCGTAATTTTTCAATAGTTGCAGGTTGGGTCATCCACTTTAGATATAGAGTAGTCCTTAAACCTTGCTCTGACAGATAGCCAAACATTGCTATCTGTCATTCACTGCATTTCTGTCTTCTCCTTCTCGGTTTCTATCTTCACTACTTCTTTGGTGCACCCTAACCAAACCATGTCCGACTTTATCACTCCAGTAATTGACATCCTAACTCGCGTGTGTGGTTCTTGCGCCAAATGGGCAGATTCAATACGCAATCTTGGAGAAGACCTCATCTCTTTGAGAAATGCTTCAAATCAACTCAATGACACGTATCTTGATGTCAAGATGAAGGTGGAAACCGCAGAGCAGGACCCAGATCCAAGGCTGAAGGTTTCGAATCGGGTAAGGGGTTGGATGGGCAGAGTAGAAGTGCTACAAAATGAAGTCCAAGCCATTTTGCAGCAAGGTGAAGGAGAAATACAAGCCAAGTGTTTCGGAGGTCGTTGTCCCAAGAATTATCGGGCTAGCTACAAGCTACACAAAATGGTTGCCCAGAAGTTGAGTGACGTTAATGATCTTACAAGCAAAGGCAACTTTGATGTTATAGCAGAACAGCTTGCCCGTGATGGGTTCGATGAACTTCCTGTGGATGAGGCTGTGGGAGTAGAATCAACATTTGAGGAGCTATGTTCATGCTTTGGGAACAATCGGGTGGGCATCATTGGTTTGTATGGAATGGGAGGGGTAGGCAAAACAACCCTATTGAAAAAATTCAACAACGATTTCCTCTCAAAGAAAGCAAAAAATATAGTCATCTGGGTTGTGGTGTCTAAAGATACGGATGAAGGAAAAATTCAAGAAGCCATTAGGAAAAAATTGCATGTCAAAGATGACGAATGGAATAATAAGACGGTGGATGACAGAGTTCTTTTGTTATACAACATCTTAAAAAATGAGAAATTTGTGTTGTTATTAGATGATGTGTGGGAAAGGATTGACTTGTTGAAATTGGGGGTTCCTTCTCCAAAAGATCATGAATGCAAGATAATATTCACAACTCGGTTGAAAGAGGTATGTGGTCTAATGGATGCACAAGGACTCATAAAAGTAAATTGCCTCGCACCAGATGAAGCATTTGAGTTGTTCAAGGATAAAGTGGGTGGGACAATTCTTGAAAGTCCTCATATATTGCCTCTTGCAAAACAAGTGGTGGAAGAGTGTCAAGGCTTACCACTTGCTCTTTGTACTGTTGGACGTGCCATGGCTAACAAGGAGAATCCCAATGAATGGAGGCGTAGTATAGAAATTTTGAGGCATTATCCCTCAAAGATCAAAGGTATTATTGAAGATGTCTATCGCTTGCTTGAATTTAGTTATGATAGATTGCCGAATGATACCTACAAATCATGCTTTTTGTATTGTGCCCTGTTCCCTGAGGACTATGACATTAAAAAACAAAAGCTTATTTTGCTTTGGATTGCTGAAGGCTTTTTGGCTGAATTTGATTATGATATACATGAAGCACGTAAGCAAGGAGAAGATATAATTTCAAGTCTAAAGTACGCATGCTTATTGGAAAATAGTGAGAAAGAAAATACAATTAAGATGCATGATGTGATCAGAGATATGGCTCTTTGGCTAGCTTGTGATCATGGGAAAAAGGCAAGATTCATTACAAGAGATTGTTCCAAGACTAGTGACCTTGAAGTATACAATCATGCAAAGTGGAAAGAGGTGGAAAAGCTATCAATGTGGGGCGGGGATGAAGTGAGTACAAGCTTCTTGCAAATACCTCGTTGTCCTAATCTCATCACTCTGTTTGTTAGGGATAAAGGATTACGAGTCTTTCCAACTGAGGTATTTGTCCATCCAAGCACTGTCAGAGTTCTAAACTTGTCATCAAGTTACAAAATAGGAGATCTACCATCAGAAATTGGGGACTTTGTAAACCTCGAACACATGAACGTATCATTTACTGGTATAAGAAAATTGCCAGAGGAGTTGAAGAATTTGAAGAAGCTGAGGTTCTTGTTGCTGGACGGACTAAAAGAGCTTGAATTCCCAGAAAAAGTTATATCCGGTTTGTTATCCCTTCAAGCTTTTAGCATGAGAAGGTCACAAGTTCGAGGGATTGATGAAAATGTGTTGTTGGATGAGCTAGAAGGCTTAGATCATCTTCAAGATATGCGCATATCTGTCTTTAGCATATCCTCTATTGGAAAAATACTGATCTCCTCAAAATTGCAAAGGTGCATTTGTAGGTTAATCACTGAAGGAGAAAGCTCACCACTCCATGACTTCTTCTCATCACTTGGAAAGATGGAGCATCTCGAAACATTAGAAGTTAGGAATTCCAAAGCTGTGGATATTCCGAGAAGCTCATTTCAAGGACACGAACATAGAATCAACCTCCGCAAGTTGGTTCTCAATGGGTGTGGCAATATAGTTGACTTGAATTGGCTTATACATGCTCCAAACCTTGAAGTCCTTCAAATAAGCTATTGTGATTCATTGGTTGAAGTTGTGAGTGCAGATTTTGGGACTGCTGACATTGAGAGACTGAAAAGCAATCTATTTTCTAGTCTCACTTATCTTCATTTGGAATCTTTGAGTAACTTAAGGAGCATTTGTAGAATGGCATTAAAGTTTCCTTGTTTGAAGGTGATTAAAGTAGAAAAGTGTCCTAATTTGAAGAAGCTCCCATTTAATTCTCAAAGTGCATTGAAAAGCCTACAACGCTTTATAGGATATCCTGATCAGTTGTTGGATCAATTGGCATGGGAAGACGAAGCAGCCAAGCATCTTCTTTCATCAAAATTTGAAAGGTAATATTTCTGCCAAGTAAACGGAATCGGTTAAAGGCTTTAGAGTAAAGTTATTCTTACTTTGCAAATGCTAATGCTTTCTTATTGGTTACCCAAGCACTGCATGCATATAAATATTTATCATGAGATTATAATGCCTGTGAATAATTTATTTTCAAATATTTCATATGGATCGTTGGACTTGAATTTCACAACGTTTTAAAATTCTAGAATTTTTAATTAAAGTACACACAGCATATTTCAACCAAAAAAGTACAAATAACATATATGAAAATTTTGATATTGTCACGGTTACCTGCATATGTCTTGTTTCCGCACTTCTTTAGAACTGCAGGGAAAATGAAGAGAAATGGCAAATTTGTGTGTCTTTTGACATATAAATATGCATGTGGTCTTTGTACCCAAAAAAAAAAAAAAAACACCCTACATAGGTTCTTTTGTTTGGTTTGAAGTTTTTTGGGTTTCGTGCCGTTGATTTTTTTCTTTTTTTTGCTTGGGCCTTTGTCTGGTCTGTTTTTAATTAAAAAAGTTTAATGAGTATTTGGCAAAAGAAAAATGATGTGAATATAATTTTTTTTCATTCCTAATTAAAACCATAAAGCTATTATATGCAATAAATTTATTGAAACTTATATGAGGAATAAAATGGTTTAAGTTTTGAAAATTTGTGAATAATTAATTAGTTTTTTTAATACCATTAATCAAAGATACTTCAAAAACGCAACATTGAATTCTAAGCCGTTTTCAAGATCTAATATTTTGTTAAAATAGTAAATGATATATGCATACAAATTCTTTTTTAGATATTTTAAAAAATACATGTTTCTTTTGTGGTAAGAAAATTGCATATATATTATTGGACGCACATATCCTAAATTATATATACAAATAATGTAATGATACGTAAGAGAAAATTTACAAGAGACAAACGCGCATCAAACCAATCCTAAGAAATTTATTGATTAATAGACTATAAAAAGAAATATCAAAGGATTAATTATTCTTCTTCATCTGCTGCAGTAACGTTCTCTTTTATCAAGAGCCTTCGCTGATTCTTTTTTTTTTTTTTTTTTTTTTGGCTGCGGTGGTTACAGAGTTGGAGCATGGGAATATGTGAGTAACATTTACTGATATTGCAGCGCCATGTGGTTTGAGTTTCAATTGAATATGCATCATCAAGACATCAACTGCAATGCTTAATACTACCTCCGTTATTTATTATAAGAGCCCGTTTGACTTTTATTTTAGTTATAAATATAAGAATCTAATCCCTTTTTTCTTTCATATTTATTTATTTTTTTTAAAATAGTCCTTATAGTAGTTACACATGTTAAAAATTTCATCAAATGGTAATTCTAGCTGATATACATGATTAGTAAGGGTATTCTAAGAAAGACAACACCTATTTATAACAAATAACTAACTTAACTAATTTTTTTAATCTTTTCAAATTAGTCAACTAAGTCTTATATTAAGGATCGTAGATAGTATAAGTCTGCCATTCTGTACTTTTATGAAGGGCATAAGTTTCTGTATGAATTTGCCATATTATATTGACAGCAAGATATTTGCAGAGGTACTTATATAATCCAAATCAATCAACATAGCTTGAAGTACATGATTGATAAAAAGATGGTTAACTGTACCATTTTAGCGTTTAGGATCTCCAAATGACTTTCACTGAAACATTTGTCTCACTGCTTTTCCCTTTCTTTTTTTCCAGTTCTTTTTTCCCAGTTCTTTCCAGCTTGGACGACGAACCAATGAGGAAGGCTCTGAAGGTTTATAAGCTATTATGGAGAGTGGCATCGCCTCCACCATTCATTGTGCTTTGAATTCCTTGTAATATTGCCACATTAGGGATATGGATCAGTTGCTTGACTTATTATTAATTTTAGTTGTTTTTGTGTTTACCGCAGTGAAAGACTTTGTTCGCCACGGCAAATGTTGTTGAACTTTGAATTATCGTTATGTTTCTTTTATGTTATGGAGTGCATGTTATTAATTGGTCAAAGGCCGCCTTAGGTGTTGTTTTTGACTGAGATTTAAGTGGAAACACATGCAGAGACTTCAATTTATCTCCATTAGTACAGTTAATTGAATTTAGATGATAGATGTCAAGGCCTGAAAGCTCAGGGAAGCGGTGGTTCGGAATGATTTGGCGAAGCTATGTTGAAGTTGTGGCCAAGAAAGTTGTTCGTCTTTGACAACCAATCTCCGAGTGTGTTGAGGAATTTCTCACTGGAGAAACTCGTCGCCGCCAATGAATACTCATCCAACAGAGAGGGAGGACGGTCGGAGTTCGAGCTAAGTTCACTTCACTTGCCGAAAATCGTGCAGAATTTCAATGACACAGACGAGAAATACCCATCGGCGGCTGAATGCAGCCATAATCGCTGCAATTGCTTTCGAAGCAGAACGAAGGAGGAATGAACGATGATATTGGGCAATGAACGAGCAACAAAGAAGGAAGGAGAGTCTTGGTCTGATACTTTTGGGGTTATGAGGGTCGTTAGTGTTTCCTTAATGGGGAGGGACTAATGGACCTAACTGTGCAAAGTTAAGAGATCCAATAAAAGGGGGGCAGAGTCTTAAGGATCAAATTCAAGACTCAAGCAAATTATAAGAACCTCTAAATTAGTTTTTCCTGTAATTACTCAGTGATACTTCAAAGACCCAACATTGAATTCTAAGCTGTGTTCAAAATCATTAAATGATGTAGGCATACCAATTCTAGCATGTGTATTTTAAAAAATTACATGCATGTTAAACTACATTTATGTAGCACACATATATGATAAATTATACTCCCTCCGTTCTTTATTATAAGAGACATTTGATGCTTATGGTATGTTCCTATATATAAGAGACACTTACAAGTTGTCTCTACTTTTTTGTGTTGGTTTACTATTTTACCCATATTTATTATCTCCAACTCACTCTCTCTCTCCCTCCCACTTCTCTTTCTTTTAATAATTTAATTATTCTCTCTCATGCTCTCTCTCCTTATTAATGAGGGCATTTTTGGAAAAAAATTTATACTTTTTACACATTAATTATTCTTAACTAATTTTAACTGTTTTTTTGATCAACGTATTTCGGTTATTTGTCTCTTATAATAAGGAACGGAGGGAGTATAAAACAATATAATGATATTTTATTTTGAAAAGCAGCACATAGGACTATGCAAAAACCCGAGGGTTCGGTATGGTCCGGTCCAACCCGAGCAAACCCGGTCCAATCCAGTCCAGAAAAAATTGGTCTAAAACAAGACCGGACTAGACTGGACCGGATTGGTCTCATCGGGCTGGACTGGACTAGGGACTGGCCCCTTAGACTAGTTGGTCCAGTCCAGTCTAGCCCGGTTTTTTTAATTATTATTTATATAATTTTAATTTGATTTAATTTTTCTATATAAGTTTTTTGTCTATTCAAATAATCAAGATTTATCTATTAACCTCCTAAGTAATGAGCATGCGTATATATTTTCTACAATATAAGATCTATAATAATGAGGATTAATTAATAAAACATGAGATTATTGGGAAATTGAAAGGGAATCATCAAATTTGATGAACTTTGGATTAAATTATGTATGAAATTTTATATAGTAAGTTACAATCTCGCCTCTTATTGGAGAAAAAAATTTAAAAAAAATTAAATTTAGGTCTTGGACTGCCTGGATTGGTCCCGATAGTCCAGAGGACCAAGTCCAGTCCAACCCGACTTCGGGTTGGTACTGGATTGGACTAAACCTCAGGCTGTCTTTTTTAATCCGAGGTCTTTACTGGACTAGACTTTGAGTTGATAATAAACCCAGTCCAGTCTAGTCTATGCATACCCCTAACAGCACATACGAGAAAACTTACAAGAGAGTAATGGGCCATGATGTTGATTTTCTCAATTTCTGGTGCTAATGACTTTTATATATTCCACCTCTTGGAGCTACATTAATTTGTTACTTCCTGGTCTCAATTATCTGTGTGAAACATATCCAACTTTTGTTCTTTGATATCCAAGGTTTCTTGAGTCCAAGAAAGGTGGAACCAATCCTATTTGACGTATGCCACGTAATAAAATAAATCCCCTCTTTAACCTTTCTCCTCTGTTCTCCAGTCCAATCGCATCGAAGTGCTAAATTTCCAATATCAAGGCAGCAGCCAAATGATTCAGACGGAAGCCTATTGGCTGCACCAAACTAGAACTAACAAAATACAACAGAACATAAAAGTACAAAATTTTGTTCATACAGGTATTCGTTAGAAAATAATAAACCATACCGTGCAATTGAAGGACCAAAATGGAAACTAGATTAATGATAAATGAAGGTACAAGTCAGATTTACAAGTATCTAAATGTACAAAGAGATGCCTGTCTGCTCATGTAGTCACAAAATCTCCTGACATAATAGCTAACAAAGAATACCTGGCCTTGATGGAGATTTTGCCTCCCTTTATATAGGGTTTGGCTGCAATGACCACCCAATATCCAGGCGTGTCTTCTGGACACCTGACCTTTTCCTTCGTATCCACAAAGCTGAGCATTTCTGGGGCCTTTATTGGAACAGGTGCCTCAGTACCAGACTCACCATTATAAACTATTGGTTTTATGCTATCTTCTTCAGTCGGCTTTTCATTGTCAATCACGTGATGCAGTTCCTTGGTCAGTATTGTGCTCATCAATGCTGAAAAGAACCCTGACTTTCGAAATGGAAACGGCGATCCATCCCATTCTGATCTGTAAATTTCTACTGATTCTACCAGGGAAAACCCAAGCCCCAAGAAAAGAACTTTTCTCCTCTTCTCATGCTTGACCTCAAGCCACGCCTTCGTTGCAATGGCTGGGGGCTCATCATCAAGGGAACTCTTGTACAATACTGGGGCTTTGCAGACATGTGAAAACCTTTTCCACTTCACAGGTTCAAAGTAGGCTTTGTCAACTGGCTCATCATTAGATTCACAACCAATATCATAAGAGATTTTAAGGATTTGTGGAAGATTTGAAAGATGCTGGAGATCGATAGCCAGATGGTCACTCTTTCTCCCTTCCAATAACAAGCAGATATCTGCAACAGGACAATGTCCAGAGTCAACCTGCAAATTTGTGAAGTTAAAGGTAGAATGTCAGGTATTATTGAAAAGTAATGAAAAACAGATGCAAAATGATTCCTATACTCCTACTTAATAATGACAATAATAATACTGAGGGACAAACAATGTTTAGCAGCAACAATTAAGATATAACGGACACTATATTAGAAAGTAAAAATCAACCTTGTTTTCCATGATTACCTTCCTTTCCGTACACCAAACATTGCTTTGAAAATGTCTGTGGAGGAAAACTAAGCATGTAACGACACCGCAAACAATCTTAAGTGTGAATCTTTTTACATTGCTTGGTGGTGTATGTGGAATTGCCGCAATGGTAACGCAAAGACAAAATACATGAATACAATGTGATTTTTTTCCGTGCTTTGTGAATGTAGGCTTAAGCAACCTTCAGTTCAGACTTTAAATAATGTAACAACAAATTACCTTTATGTTTTTAACATAAGGCTTGGATCCCAACAAAGTGAACTGGAGTGATGGCGATTTGTTCTTTTGGCGTCTAGGACGAAATCCATGAAGCACATCATCATACAATGGAGACCACTGCCGAGGCAACTGAAATTCAAGAAATTGACGAAGTTCATCTATTTGGGGTTTATCTGCATCAAATAAAAACTCATTTAACACCCACACTAGATAAATCACATTGTTGAATCCGTATATAAGATTATTCTTATCTTAACTTCAGTATCAAAAATCAACGAGTCCTCGATGGCTTAATCAGAATGTTTCAGAACAACTCTAGATGAATTTGCATGAATTTATTTGAGATTGCTCTCATTAAATAATCTAAAATATGTTAGTAGACGGGAGGTTAAGGAACCAGATCAGAACGTATATAGGAGTGAATGTGAAGGAATTGCAAATGAGAAATCATTATACGCGCGCTCGAAACGATGTTAATGGATAATGCTCCCCTAGTTGCATTCTACCCTAGAAAAACATTTCCATCTCAAATATATATAGAATCAAATGGGATAAAATGCCATGCCAAAGGTTTAATCTTTATTCACAAGAATCTCATTTTCCATCCTCTTAGAACAAAGACTAACTAGTCGAAGTCAAAACCTCTGCACTTATCCTTCCAAGCGAACCCTATTCCAAGCCAGAGGTTTCATTAGCTCCAAGACATGGTAGATAAGGACAAGTTACATAATATCAGACTTGCCAAAATGCAGAGAAAATAAACCACACTAACTGAAGCAATAATAATGTCAACTGAAATTGAAAATAGCATATAGCGATTGAAATTGGCATCAAGAAATGTGTACTCACATCTGAGATACAAATTCATTGCATGGCTTAGGAAGCCATGGCCTGGACTGGAACTAAGCAGTGAAGTAATTGGCAAAAACAGCATTGATATGGCCTCAGGTGACTGCGATATAGTAGAAAGCCACTCCTTATGGTTCTGCTGAATGCCAACAATACCTCCCCTTGGAACAGAAATGCTTATGAGATCCTGTTTGAATTATATTCAAATAAGAGCCCAAATGTGATAACAGCAAGATGGTTGCTTGATGCGTTGAAGAAGCAATGACAGTTGAAACTAATACCAACCTCCTTGGTTGAGTGACTTTTTACAGTTGGTATAACAGCTGCAGTAAGAGCTGCATCAAGGTTCCATGGCTCATATCCATCATCCTGCAAAGATCACAACAAATATTTTTTGACGAGTAGAACATTTCATATATTCTTTAAAATTTTAAGTAACTAAATCAAAATCGATTTTTTCCCTTTCGGCTATGTTTAATATTGAATATAAAATTATGTCTCTATGTTAAGGTGTTTTTGAACGCAGTATAGCAAACTAGCGCAGTCTTATTATCAACAAATCAATTTATGAAGAAAATATCAACATATTTCTCTTTCCCATTCACCACAATGGTTCCTGGTAATTAAGATCAATTCAGGGTTACTATTAGTAAAAGAAAAAGAGAAAAAGGTAAAACTGCATACCATTAAAAGAAACAAAGAGAAAAACGAGATGAAATTGTTTCATTCAATTCAGAATGCTAAACTCACACTTATACTGGTTCTGAATCATGAACAGAAGCAATAAAAGAAAATTTAGGTGTGAGGAAACTCAGATAAAAATATGCAGGTAGACTATTTGTATTTAGGACTTAATTTTGGTAATACAGTCAAGAAGAAAGGCTTGTGCATATATGGCATATTTTCCACAGCACATATAATCCTCTTTAGACAGCTAAAAATGATGGTGATGCATTTTATCTTCTGAACCTTCAATGTTACTGATATTCCGGCTTGATCGGAACCGGAACATGTATCTCCATCCTCAGAAAACCTCTCATCAGCTTCTTTCTTAAGCAATCTCTGCACTTCAGTGGGTTGAAGATGTGAGCTTTTGAACTGCTTGATGTGAACCACATCCTTACCTCAATGAACCTGTAGAATTATGTCTTATTCAATGCACCATTCAGGTGAAAGGAAACTTAAAATGTTTCTATGGATGAAAGATAAGAAAAAGTAGGTTCAAAACTCATTCATATAGACTGCTAGCATCTTATACTTAAATATCTATATCTGTGAAGATATTCTTGCTGGCAGGAGCTTACAGTTTGTTGACTTTCATGCGAGATATCGTCGAGAAAATGATCAATTGTTACAATCAAATTTTGAAAGTAAACCCCATCAGGTTGCAGGTCTATTAACAAGAATTTTGTCAAGGCAACAAACTGAATTTCCATGGTTACACAGAAAAAAAAAAAAAACAAAAAGCTATGGTCACATCAGAAATAACTTTTATTCGAAGTTTTACTATAACAAGAACAATACGAGCAAAAATAATGACAAATTAACCACGGTAGTAATAGAAATAAAATAAATGAACGAAGGTATAACAAGAAGAAAAATAAATACACTTACTCAGCAAGGGCAGCAGGGTTCATGAAGTAGGCACTTGGTTTTTTCACATGCTCGGAGAGGTTAGGTGGGCTCTATCTAACTCAACACTATACAAAGTTATGAACCAACTATCAAATGCAAAGATTTTAGTGGAAGCTGCATCTTTCTTCCAACTGTTATAAGCCAGACAGAACTTTCCCAGATAAAGATAATGCTAAACTCAAGTGTTCAGACATCTGCAACAGGGCAAATTTGGAAGAATTTCCATGACTCAAATTGCACTGAATTCAGATAAAAAGATACTTGTGTGTTAGATGATCATGTATATATCTCAAAAATTACAATTGTACTCATGCCAGTTTAAATTAGAAAGTTAAATGATTTTCATTTTTGAGGTCATAGATGGATGCTACGAGAAAATCAGAGGCGACGGTAGCACATGGTTTTTAAAATAAAAAATAATACACGAAAGAGACTTATATTTTCTTTTCCATTGGAAAACTTCAGCATTCAACCTCAATCTAGTTAGAAATTTAATGTATGTGTAAATTACTTCCCTTTAGTTTTTTTATTAAAAAAATAAAAATTTGGTAAACTGAAGTTTAGAACAATTTACAATTTACAAATATATATGCTATCCAAAGAAGGTAAATTATGAGCACCTCCCAATCTAAAAAACATGCCCCTTATGCCATTATACCTGTAATACTCTTTCAATTTCTCCTTCAAAGAGTAGAAATGAGTAACATCATAATCACGTCACAGCCGGACTAAAGTATTGTTCAGCAAGTATTTTAGTATTTTAATAAAAAATAACATCAAAACTTTAATGCTTTACACTAAGAATACATGAATTGTTGAAACTCTAACTCAACTTTTAGCTTAGAAACGTGATTTTTCACCCTTCAAGCCAAGCATTCCCAAAGTGTGATGCCAGTTTTAGATAAATGAATTCTGGTCACTACAAAAAAAATTGACCTTCAACAGTGACTAAAAGTCAAAAAGCCGTCACTAAAGGTTTTCAGTGGCGACATCCAAGTCGATGCCATAGCGACTGCTGCTGAAACTCATCAGTGGTGACAAAAATATTCGCCGTTGAAAGTATAGTTTCAATGGCGACTTTGAAAGAGTCGCCGTTGAAAGTGTTGCTGCAGAAAATAGGACCACCATCAGCTGCCACTACATCATCACCTGCTAGGCATTGACTGCTACCACGTCAGTTGCCACCTTGTCCATACCAAGTGTCCACACCTCAATCTACCAGTCACCAACTGGATATTATCATCATAAATATGGCTCTTTCATGGTTCAAACTCCTAACCTTCTTAGGCGTTCTTTCTTTTTGCCGTTGAGTTGGAATGAATTTAGTAATAGTTATTGTGAAATCAGATACACACACATAATAGTAATAAAATATTAAAACAGACTTTCAGCGACGACAAAAAGTCACCACTAAAACTACCCTTTAGGGCGATTGAGAAACTTCCAATTAAATTTTATTAGGTTAAAATAAGTAATTTTTTATTAGCTCCCTCTGATTATCTTCTAAGCAAGCATCACTAACAAAGCGCAAACGCACATATAAGGACCCAAATCAGGCAGCTGCCATGCGACTCAGTAAATTACCTTGAAACAGTGGCATTTTCATGGAAGATTTCTGGACATCTCATTCAGAAGGTACGATGGATTGAAGGGCCGCGCAAGAACCCAGAGGGGGTCGACTGGGCGAGAATTAACGTCTTTTTACTTATATATTATTTTTATTATAAAATAAAATTAATTGTAAACATTTTTATATATTTATATTTAATCATATTATTTTAATTATGGCAGGTCTAGCTGTAACTGCATTATTGCCTCGACCGATTGAATGATGAATCCAATTGTCACTAAAATGTTATCCCTAGGTCAAATTACATCCCGATTTCTATTTCTTAAGTCATTTTTCCTGTAAATAAATTCCAACATGATATATATATTCAACTGAATTTGTACATAGTAGTTAATAATCCTATGAATTATAATTCTGAAAATATATCTGTCTAATCAATGTAAAATCCACTTCTTATAAACAGAAAAAATACAACGTTGCTTTATAACTTTAAGATTCCTTGCTTGTGCAAATTAGTCGATCGATGTTCCCCAAACAGGAGTATCTATAGTTTGAACGAGAGATTATGTTTGTATAAAGATTAGTTTATTTCAGGTCATTTTACACCCAGCACTGTAAATATTTGGGGGGCAAAACTGGTTTCACAAAGTATAAAAGACCCCCCCCCCCCCCAAACCGACATTGAGATTGAGAAGCCTACTGAAGATAAGCATAAGAGTGAAAGTGAGGGGCCCACACTTTGGAAATATTATTCAAGTCACATTCGGTTTCGGTGTCATCTCCTTTTTCTAGAGAATTTTGCAGAGGCCTTGCCATTTGTGGGTTCCATCTTCTTTTTTCTTTGTCCTTTCTATTTTTTCTCTCCGTTATAAAGCCGTGTAAAATGCAACTTTTTCTCTCTGTTTTTTCCTGTTTACAGTCTCTTCCCCCCTTTTTTCTTCCAGCATGCATAGAAAGAACAAAGATTAAATTGTCTATTAACTTATTTTAAAATATAAATTATCTTTTTTACTACGTAATATACATAAACAAAAGGAAAATTAAATGCCAACACATGCTACAAAATTCTAAACCTATTCAAAAACTGCTCACCTTTGTCGGCACAAGAGAAAACGTTAGGGTCCGCACCTTTGAAAAATTATTTAAATCACATGCAATTTCTTTGTCGTCTCCGTGTTCTAGAAAATTTGGTACTCAACAAATTACGGGTTGTTTTTGCAGAGGCCTTGCAGTTTGTGGGTTTCATGTATTCAAAATATAAGATAAATTTTATCTAAATTAGTTAAAATAAGTTTAAAATAATAAATGTATAAAGCATAATTTTTTTAAAATATGTCCTTATTAATAGAAAGTATAAGTATAAAATACAATAAATGAACTAAAGAATAAAGAGAAAAGAGAATATATGAGGTAAAATTGGAAAAAAAACTTATTAAATATTTAGAAAAAAAGTAAATTTTATTTAATAAAAAATCAAACCCCTCCAATAAAATTTATCTTATAATTTTCTTCAAGCATGCATGAAAACAATAAAGATTGAGTTGCCTATTTATATATTTTAGAATATAAAATATCTTCTTTATTGGGTAATATAGACATAAAAAAGGAAAATCAAATGCCAACACATATACTACAAAACATCCTGTCGAGTGAAAAATTCTTAAGGGATTTTACTGATACAAATTCCCAGAAGTGGTTTTCACTTCATAAATTAAAATATTAGCCTACGTAGACATATTATTTTCTTTTACAGGGAAGGATAAGCATCAATTTAAATATAAAGCTTAGTTTATTTCAAGTAAGTTTACACTGTGTAATGTAGATATTTGAAAAAAAATTAAACTTGCTTCACGAAATATAAAAGATTTTTTTGTTTTTGGGAAGGAGGTCGATTTCATTATCACATTATTGAGATTACAAAAACTGTTGAAGATAAGCATGAAATCAACAGGGGCTTATGATGGCAGTAAGTCTGGCGGCACCACTCCATGCTCCTAAAAATGCTCGGCTTTGTGAATACAAGAGAAAAAGTAAGGGGCCCTTTTTTTGTGTAAAATACTTTGAGTTTTTTCCAGATAACATTCCACAATCTAAATTATTTTTCAGCAATTAAAATAATCTTTTGTGCACTCATCATAGTAAAATCTTTTTGAAATAACAGCTAATGTAAACACTTGGGGAAAAAAAAACCGGGTTCACAAAGTATAAAAGAATTTTTCTTCTTAACTGAGGTGGCCACTGAGCACAGAGCACTGAGGTCCATTTCATTGTCACATTATTGATATTGAAGAGTCTACTGAAGATAAGCATGAAATTAATACTGGTGGCACCTGTGCCCCTCAAGGCTCAAAAAAATGCTCAGCTTTGCGGGCAACTGGGCACGAGAGAAAAAGTTAGGGGTCCGTAACTTTGAAAAATTATCCAAGTCACGTGCAGTTTCTTTGAAAAAGTTACGAGTTCTTTTGCAGAGGCCTTGGGGTTGGTGGGTTCCATTTTCCATCTTTTTTTTTTTTGTCCTTTCTATATTTCTCTGCACGGTAAAGTCGGGTAAAGTGCAATTTTTTCTCTCTGTTTTTCCCGACTTTACTTTTCTGTCTCCTCCACTTTAATTTTCTCTAAGCATGCATAGAAAGAACAAAGATTAGATTTGTCTTGTGTTTTTCCCAACCTGCAACTATTGAACGCAGTTTTAGACCGTTGATGGTGAGACTTAATTGCATCATAGACCGTCTAATTAATTTAAATTATTAAAAATTGTTTACCGTAATTTTTCAATAGTTGCAGGTTGGGTCATCCCTTTTAAATATAGTCCTTAAAGCTTGCTCAGACTGATAGCCAAGCATTGCTCTCTGTCATTCACTGCATTTCTGTCTTCTCCTTCTCGATTTCTATCTTCACTACTTCTTTAGTGCGCCCGAACCAAACCATGTCCGACTTTATTACTCCAGTTATTGACATCCTAACTCGTTTGTGTCGTTACTGTGCCAAATGGGCAGATTCAATATGCAATCTTCAAGAAAACCTCAAGTCCTTGACAAGTGCTTCAGATCAACTCGACGACATATATCATGATGTCAAGATGAAGGTCGAAACGGCAGAGCAGGACCCAGGGCTGACGGTTTTGCAACGGGTAAGGGGTTGGATGGGCAGTGTAGAACGCCTACAAAATGAAGTCCGAGCCATTTTGCAGCAAGATGATCGAGAAATACAAGCCACATGTTTCGGAGGTCATTGTCCCAAGAATTGTTGGGCTATCTACAAGCTACACAAAATGGTTGACCGGAAGCTGAGTGAAGTTAATGATCTTACACGCAAAGGCCATTTTGATGTCATAGCAGAAAAGCTTCCCCGTGATAGGTTCGATAAACTTCCTGTGGCTAAGCTTGTAGGGGTAGAATCAACATTTGAGGAGCTATGTTCATGCTTTGAGAACAATCCGAGATTGGTTTGTGGGGAATGGGAGGGGTAGGCAAAACGAGTCTGCTCAGGAAATTCAACAACGATTTCCTCTCAAAAAAAGCAAACATCGTAGTCATCTTGGTTGTAGCATCGAAAGATGCAGATGAAGGAAAAATTCAAGATGCCATTAGGAAGAAATTGAATGTCCCAGATGATACTTGGAATAATAAGACGGTGGAGGAAAAAGCTGTTGTGTTATGCAATATCTTAAAGAACAAGGCATTTGTGTTGTTATTAGATGACGTGTGGGACTGGATTGACCTGTTGAAATTGGGGGTTCCTTCCCCTAATAATCATGAATGCAAGATAATATTTACAACTCGGTTAAAAGTGGTTTGTGGTCAAATGGGTGCGGATGCAGATGGAAGCATCTTAGTAAATTGCCTCCCACCAGATGAAGCATACGACTTGTTCAAGGAGAAAGTGGGCGTTACTACTCTTGAAAAACCTAATATATTGCCTCTTGCAAAGCAAGTGGTGGAAGAATGCAAAGGCTTGCCACTTGCTCTTTGTACTGTTGGACGTGCCATGGCTAGCAAAGAGACTCCTAATGAATGGAAGCGTAGTTTAGAAATTTTGAGGAGGAATCCCTCAAAGGTCCAAGGTATAGTTGATGAAGTCTATTACTTACTTGAATTCAGTCATGATAGATTGCCAAATGACACCTACAAATCATGCTTTTTGTATTGTGCCCTGTTCCCTGAGGACTATAACATTGAAAAACAAGAGCTTATTTTGCTCTGGATTGCTGAAGGCTTTTTGGCTGAATTTGATTATGATATATATGAAGCACGTAAGCAAGGAGAAGATATAATTTCAGGTCTAAAGTATGCTTGCTTATTGGAAAATGGTGAGGAAGAAGATACAATTAAGATGCATGATGTGATCAGAGATACAGCTCTTTGGCTAGCTTGTGATCATGAGGAAACGACGAGATTCATTGTAAGAGATTATTCCAAGACAAGTGGGCTTGAAGTATACAATCATCCAATGTGGAAAGAGGTAGAAAAGCTATCAATGTGGGGCGAGGGTGATGTGAGCAGAAACTTCTCACAAAAACCTCATTGTCCTAATCTCGTGACTCTGCTTATTAGGAATACTAGGATTGAAGTCTTTCCAACTGAGGTATTTGTACTTCCAAGTACTGTCAGAGTTCTAGACTTTTCTTCTAATTTTGGAATAAGAGATGTACCATCAGAAATAGGGGACTTTGTAAACCTGGAACACATGAACCTATCCCGTACTAGTATAAGAAAACTGCCAAAGGAGTTGAAGAATTTGAAGAAGTTGAAGATCTTGTTGCTGGACGAAATAGAAGTGCTTGAATTCCCAGAGAAAGTTATATCCGGTTTGTTATCCCTTCAAGCTTTTAGCACGAGATGGTCAAAAATTCGAGGGATTGATAAAAATGTGTTGTTGAATGAGCTAGAAAGCTTAGATCATCTTCAGGATATACGCATTTCTGTCCATAACACATCCTCTGTTGAAAAAATACTGATCTCCTCAAAATTGCAAAGGTGCATGTGTGAGCTATTTGTTATAAAGGTAGACTCATCACTCCACGGCTTGTTCTCATCACTTGGAAATATGGAGCATCTGGAAACATTACTGGTTGCGCATTCTGAAGCTGTGGATGTTCCGAGACGCTCATTTTGGGGACATGATTATATCATCACCCTTCGCAGGTTGCGTCTCTTTAGGTGTGGTAATATAGTTGACTTGAATTGGCTTATACATGCTCCAAACCTTGAAGTCCTTGAAATAATCCATTGTGATTCATTGGTGGAAATTATAAGTGAAGATTTTGGGACTGCTGACGCTGAGAGAGTGAAAAGTAATCTATTTTGCAGTCTCAGTTCTCTTTCTTTGTTGTGTCTGGGAAACTTAAGGAGCATTTGTAGAATGGCAAGACAGTTTCCTTGTTTGAAGGAGATTGAAGTAGGAGATTGCCCCAATTTGAAGAAGCTCCCATTTAATTCTCAAAGTGCATTGGAAAATCTACAATACTTTAGGGGAGACATGGAGTTGGATGAAATGGAATGGGAAGACGAAGCCACTAAGCATCTTCTTTCGTCAAAGATTAAAAGGTAATCATTTCTCGCAATCAGTCAAAGCTTTAGAGTAAAGTTACTCCCACTTCCATGCAAATTTTAACACTTTATCCGATTGACCCAGGCGGTGCACATGCATATAAATATTTATCATGAGATTATTATATCTTTGGATTATTATGTCCCAATATTTCATATGGATAGGTGCAAAATCTTGCATTTCACGACATTTTAAAATTTGTAGAATTTTTGCTCATAAAGAAATATGTAAAATTTTTAACTAAAGTACACATAGCATATTTCACCAAAAAAGTGCAAATAGCATGTAAGAAAATTTTGATATTGTCACGCTTACCTGCCTATGTCCTGTACTTCTGTTCCATATAGAACTGAAAATGAAGAGAAATAGTAAATTTGTAAATATTTTGACATATAAATATTTTTTCCCCTGGCTAAACTTTGCGTGCAGGTCTGGCGTTCGTTTTGTTCGGCCGCCGGCATTGTCTGAGTGAGTGCCTTTTATTGTACTGTCACGTATCCTTTCGAGCACCCTTTATTGATATTCCCTTCGGCTCTAAATATAAATATAAGAGTCATTTTTTAATATAAATTATATCATAAAATAATTAAATAGGTCTCAATGAACGGGTTTATATTTTCTTTTCTGGGAAAAATTACATTAAGGTCCTGCTCAGAATAATTAAATACAAAAAAGTTTTTAAAATTATCAAATTAATCTAAAGTCTCAAGAAACCTCATTACAAAAGATTTCACTTGTTCAATTATTAAATTGCCTCATTTTTGTTAAGTATGTGTTGATAACTAAAAAGGCAGTCATTAACAATTTAAAATGCAATGATTAATAACTATTGTGGCAAGTATTAACAACTCATAGATTAAATCTTTGTGGAGTTGTTAATACTTGTTATGATAATTGTTAATCGTTACATATTAAGTTATTAATGAATGCCTTTTTAGTTATCAATGTATACTTAAAAATAAGATAGGAGATGTTTAGTAATTGAACTAGTGGAATATCTTGCAATGAGGTCTTTTAAGATTTCAAATTAATTTGATGATTTCAAGAGATTTTTTAACATTTAATTCTCTTGGTGAAACCTTATGCGATTTTCCCTTTTTATGTTATGATGGATTGCAACGGCACGTTTCATCATTTCAACCTACATATTAAGCAAGTCTTTACTCTTTAAAGATCACCTTCATATGTTGGCAAAAAAAAAAAAAAAAGATCACCTTCACAATTTTCTTCGAAGTAAACTACACACACATATATAGAGACACACACATTAAATTATAAATTTTATTTTGAAAAGCAACACATATGAGAAAATTTACAAGTGACTAACAGACATTGAACCATTGCTTGACAAATTTATTGATTTATAGAATATAAAAAGAAATATAAAAGGATTAATTACTTCTGTTCATCTGCTGCAATATTCTTTTTCATTATCAAGAGCCTTCGCCACTTAACATTTTCCCCTGCTAACTTTGCATGCAGGATAACACCAGAGTATGTCTAAGGGTTATCATTCTAAAACATCTTGCAGGTGGGTGCCTAAGAATTTTCCTTTTCAGGTCAATAATAGAGTGTGTATATATTGAAGATAAAATTTCTGGAAATAAATGGGTGAGTAAATGTTGTGGTTAGTGTTGCTATATTATCTCAGATTTTATCGTTATGTATCCTCTCAAACACTATAGTTTTACAATTTACCCTTAAACAATGCCATAAGATTGTGGGTTTGTTTGGATTGATAGTAGAAAAAGTAACTTATTTTTAATCTGATTTTAAAAAAAATAAAATTGGGTAAAATTTATATCATGTAATATGATTTATATTTAGATTGGCTTTTATAAAAGTTAGTTTGTAGAGTAGAAAAATTGTTTGGATTATCATTGAATAAATAAATTTAGTTTGTAGGATGAACAAAATGAGTATAACTTTTATTAAATAATAAAAAATATTAAAAATATGAATTTACAAGATGTAATAATTCTAAATTATTATAATAGGAAGAAGTTATATTTAAAGAATAAAATATATTTAAATTAGAAATCATAGAAATATGAAAATTTTTTAACCAAATAATATTACATACTTTATTAGATGATATACTCTGCATAATTTATGTGAATATAAAATAAAAATAATATTAAAAATTAAAATATTATAAAAGCTGTTAAAAATTATTTTTGCTTAAGAGAATATTAAAAATAAATAACTAAAAGCTAATTGGAAAGTACAAGAAATATTTAGAGAGAAGCATATAAGAGCAACATAAACATAAGGATAAAAATATATTTTAATTCTTAGGTGCTTTTGCAATCGTGTTTAAAAAATAATTTTTGATTTATAAATCAGATTAGTCAAAAGTTATTGCAAACAACTCCTAAATTTACAAACTGACTTATCACACTTATAAGTTGCTTTTTGGGTACTGAAACGCCTTACCAAACAGGCACATTATACTATGTCTTTTGTTTTAGGTTATGTGTTTTATGTTATGGGTCATTTTGAATGGAAATTAATTAAGTCTTTAATCTTTAAATATCATGACCATATTTTTCTTATAATTTGGGGTTAACATAATCATTAGTGTGCTTATAATTCACTTTTATTTCCTGAAGTTTTAAAGCGCGGATTTTGGTTTTTTCAAGTTTGTCCCTTAGAACGCTAGTTCTTATATTTTTTAAAGGGTTTGGAGTTGCTGACTTGGCAAGATGAGTGGGTAACTTTGCTGACCAAGCTTCTGATATCGACATATGACAAATACAAAATAGAAACACAAAACACAACGAACAGAACATGTGAGAGGCCATGAACAAAAGGAATTCTGATCCAGAATATAGATGAAGAAATGGATTATGATAAGAATTTGTGTAGTAGCATTATGTCAAAAAAACCCATACAGAAACTGAATACAAAAATCAGACTTTTGAACGAGTACCTGAAAAAAGGATTTAGAAACAGACCTGCTGTGACATTTATGTTTTCTTCAAACCTTTCCCCCATCTCTTGTTCCAGAGTAACATAATAAGAACAAGAGAGCAGCTTCATAGATATATACGAGGAAGTAGAAGCCATTGGGATGTTTGTTGGAGTGACCATTCCAGCAGGAAGCAAATGGATAGCATGAATTGAAACAGAGTGGTTCACATCCTTACTTTACTGTTGTCTTTTGGACACTAAGGATTATAATATATGTTGTTTAAAGCCGTTTGTATTCAAGAATATCAAATCAGTAATAGGTTTCAACTTTATGGGTATTTGTTTAATAATTTTCAAAGTTAGGGGAGGTGTTAGAAGCAAGGGAACGGTTGAGCCATACTTGCTGAGCGATTCAGTGTGAGAGAGCCAACGGCGATTAAGATTTGGCTTGAAAAATTTGGGAAGAAGTTATAAAAGAAAGAATGAGAGGTTGCTCAGTTGGTAATTGATTGATATTCGAAGTTGTGGGTCGGTTGACGGTCGATGCTATATAGGCTTGGGAATGAGCAGAAGAGCAGGGAGGTTTTGAGAATCCAAAACAAACAAACACATGTGGACATGCTCTGTTCACCGCTATTTTCATAACCAAAAACAGAACAAAATCCAAATAATTAAAATCACTTCAACACCCTTTAGATCATTCATGAGTATAATTTGTCCATCTCAAAACAATCAAGAGAAACTCAAACAAGGACCCAATACGCTGTTGGAACATGTGCCTCGGTACTAGACTCACCATTGTTTCATATTATCTCCAGTAGGCTTTTCATTCTCAATGCAGTTCCTCGCTGAGCATTGTGCTCATCAACGCTGAAAAGAACCATGACTTTCGAAATGGAAATTAAGGCACATGACTTATAAGTGTCGGTTGACCCCACCACTATCCGGTTTAGAGCCTCTCCTCTTCCCTTTTCATCCTCTTTCCTCTTTTTTTTTTTTTAATCAACTGTTGGATTAACATATTTCAATAGTTTATATTTTAATTTTTCATACACTATTTATAAAAAATTTTAAAAACATTTAGTGCAATTGCAAATCATTAAAATTAAATTTTAATATAGTTTATAATTTATCATTTATTTATTTTATAATTTAATATTTTAATAATAGTTTTAAAATATTAATCTAACAATTAAAAAAAAAGAGGATGGAAAAAAAAGAGGAGAGATTCCGAACCGTGCCACCACCTTAGCTGTGCCTCCGGTTGCCCCTCAAATTTTGGGAATTTCATATTTTTTTATTTTTTTAATGGGCAAAAAGTCGTTCAATTTTCATTTTTTATGATTTTTTAAGGATTTAATATTCAATTCTCTGAGAAATCATTAAAAAAATAAAAACCAAACCATTTTTTACTCATAAGATGTCAAAATGTCATTTATCTTATGTAGAATTTAATGATAAAGAAAACTCAAAAAAAAGGAAAGGGTCCAAAATTAAGCGGCCATTAGGGTGCAACTGACACTCTGCCGAGAGACATCTCATTTTGATGTGTACATTTTTTATTGGTTCTACCAAGAAAAATCCAAGCCTTAAAAAAAGAACTTTTGTCCTTTTCACATTATCGAGGCGACAACCGGTGCTGCGCGTACATGTGAAAACTTTTTCCACTTCAAAGGTTCAAAGTAGGCTTTGTCAACCGGCTCATCATCAGATGCACAACCAAGATCATAAGAGATTATATGGATTTGTGGACTATTTGAAAGATGCTGGAGATGGATAGCTGGATGGTCACTCTTTAATTTCTTCCTTCCAGCAACAAGCGGATACCTATATCAGAACAATATCTAGAGTCAACCTTCAAATTTGTAAAGTCAGAAAGCAAAATGTCAGGTATTGAAAACGAATGAAAAAAAAATGCAAAATGATACCTGCACTCTCACATAAATAATAATAAGAAGAAGAAGGGATAAACAATGTTTAGTAACAACAATAAAGATATAATGAACACTGCATTAAAAAATATAAATCAACCTTGTTTTTGAATTCCCTCATTACCTTCCTTTCAGTACACCAAACATGGCTTTAAGAATGTCTGTTGTTACATCATCTGGGTAAAGAAAACTAAACATGTAATGGGACCACAACCAAGCTCGCGCATGAACCTTTTCAAAATACACGAATACAAGGTGGACGTTCATACTTTAAATAATGTAACCCTACCAATAAATTACCTTTCTGGTGTTAACATAAAGCTTGGATCCCAAGGAAGTGACATTACTACAAATTAACAGATATTTAAAGCTAAATAGTTGACGACAGTAAAAACAAGCCGTCAAAAAACTGAGATGGAAATTAACAAAATAATACTTGACGATTATAACTAACTGTCAAGTATGTGAACAAATATTTGACGATTTCAAATAAAACTGTCAAGTATTGTTATACAAAAGAATATTTAACGGTTTGTTCACAGTACTTAAAGATTTTAGAGAAATCAATACTTGACGGTTTTTTTTTCCAAAAAAAAAGTGTCAGTAACTTTTGAGGTAAATTTTGTTG